TTCCACTTGTGCCATCATAAGGGCTCCCTCTGCCATAAAGGACAGCAATTCTGTCTCAGTATTAGGGTTTAGGTGAAACATAAGGTTCGGCCCTCACACCACACCAATGTTTTTGTGCAGTCCTAACACAATGATACTGCAGAGAAGATTAGTGGGTTATTCAGGGATAGGTGTCCCTTCCCATCAAAGTAATGACCAACTCTAAGATATAATTTATAAAATGGAGGCTGGTGTAGTTGAATACAAAAATGTGATTCACTGAATGTTTCACTTCAAAAGAATCACTGATTAAAGTAACTCAGAATGAGACAAACAGAGTTATGAATCACTGGGAGTATTAAAAAGTGGAAACACCTTTGACCCTGAAATGTATCAGGAAAGTAGTCGATTGCCTTGTGATTTCAGAGACAGTTTAAAAATAAACTAGCAGCACCAGTGTCATAGTGGGCCTGTGAGATGGGAAAGGTAATCTCAAAGTGTGGGCATAGCAGCAGTGTAACTCCACAGGGAAATCAAGAGCTTTCACAGCTGCCCTGCCCGCCAGCAGTTGCAACACAACTCTAAAATGACAGGGCAACGTGCAAGCAGACGAAGACAGACAAAAACTTGAGTCCGACCTTAAATCGAAATACTTCAACTACACCATAAACTCGTGGGTAAGACAAAGCCGCATGTTTCCAGATAAATACACTGCTGCCTGAGGTGCAGCCAAACATGAAAGCAGAAACCTTTTGCCCTGCAAGTTTGAGATGAAGCATACATCTATTGGAGTCTTAAAAGGTAAATATTCCCACTCATTTTGTGTTATGCAAACCTCTCTGCATACATGAGGGAAATATAGGTTAGATTGAGCCATGAGCAAAAACATCTGGCCCGGTTTTATGGGATTTTAGTTAATTTGAGTAAACAAGTATACTGAGTTACTTGTATCACACAGGGCTTTGTAAAGAACTGCAAAAAGTACATAAAAAGAAGAAGCTATCATGACTTTTTACACCTCCTCTACCCTTTACTTCACTGGGCATTTATGATGAGTCTTGTGAATGTAGAGAGCTCCCTTGATGAATCCCACAGAAATAAGATCACTAGATGAAATCAATGGAACAGAATGAGGGATGAGAGGATTTTAAGCCCACGTAATATAAAGTGTTACATTGTCTGGCTTACTTTGACAGCTCAGAGGACAGAGAAAATAGCTTGTGTCTGCTTTCCAAGAAAGTGCCAACAGATTGTCAGAAGGACCAATATGTTGTCCAAATAGATAAAATGTCAAGGGAATAATAAACCAAAAAAATATCTCCTGCCATTACCTTGACACTTTTCATTTCTGAGAATTAAGCCTGTGATAGAACCAGATATAATGTCATTCAGCTACTGTAAGGAGCATGTACCGCCTGTTGTTTCTGCACTGAGCATGCTTGGACATGGTCCTTTAAAAAATGATTTTCTCAAATGACCTCTGACATAAAAGTGTATGCACCGAATTGTGAACAGGGGCTTTTGCTTTTCAGACTATTTGAGTTGCTACTTAATTAAAGGCAGCTGGGATCATTTCAAGGCTTCAGATGACAGCATGTCTTGATTTGAAACATTTATCCACACCCCAAAATCATTTTGTGACCTGTAAAATCACAGATCCCTGCTGGTTTGAAAACTTCTTGTACTTCTCTTGTGTTTCTATGAGTCACACAGTTGATTTAAGACGTGCTTTGGGTGATAATTATTTTCCTAGTTTGTGGATAACATTCAGACAGAACTGCTCCAGAAGTGGTTATTGATTGAAGTATCATAAGTCATCAGTGTAAATGCATGTGAACCGATAAGTCAGAATGCTATTCTGTTGCATCTGCTGCTCCTCCCTGTCCTGATTCTTTCACCCAATGCTTTTCTGAACACTTGAGGTGAGTGCTGTATATGCAATCTATCAGCGTCGTTAAACTGCTTCCTGTGTGTGGCGACAGTGCAGTAAATCCTCCAGCAGCGTGAATCTGTCATGTGTCAGAGCACGTTGTCATAAGCAGATATATCTTCTGCTCTGCCTATTTTTTTTCCTTTTACAGAGGAACACCAGGCAGAGCATTTACAAAATGTCTGTTATTGAGCATTCATTGAAAATCTGACAAACATGTATGCCATTGCACACAATCAATGCGTGATTCATTTGTGATTATCATGGCAGACGACTGATTTTACACAATCAGCTTATGCATGATGGACACAGTTTTGATAATGACTGTGAAATATGACAGAATACTGTACAGCTCTCATCATATTATGCCCCGACTCCCAAGGAAATACAAGCAAGATGACATCTCTATAAAAGGATAAAAAGCAAATATATAATAAATATATCATTTTTAAAAAAAAAGACAATTTAATCTCTTATGTCACATGATCATAAACATTTTGTTGTTTAAATCAATATATTGTAAAAATCCATTCAGCAACATTTAATTGACCGCTTGCTAAGCCCTGCATCCCTTAGTTACTGTTGCTATGCCTGTCAAGCTCTCTGGCTCTATACAGTTTACCGTGGTAACGGGGTAGATTTACTCCTTGAAGTTCTTGTTTGAATCGATGGGTCCTTGATTTCAGACATTAGTACACAAAATAAGCTTCTCATTTCTAGCCAGTGAATATTGATTTTCCCATTTTCCTAAATGACAACTGTTGCTGGCATATTTAATCAACTGTAGCTAGCTAGCTAGCTAAGCTAGCAAAATTATCCCCATGAACTGATTGAAAAACACTGTCTCAGGCTGACTTTTTAATGTGTCCACCTGACTTTTTTACATGATGTTGTGCTAAAAACTGAAGCTGAAGCTACATGTTCCAGGAAAAACCTTCACAATCAGTGCAGACTTAGAAATAAAGAAGCTGTTTTTATTGGAGTGTAGCTTGTTAGTCCTTGTTTTAAAGGTGTATTAAATATTTTTTACACTGTCCTCTCTGGATGGAGCAAGACAGATTTTAGATTTATTCTCCTTTGTATTTTTGAACAATATGTTTCACTTTTAATCTTACAAGAGAAAAGCTTTTTCAGATGAGTGCTTGTTGAACATAGTGCTCTCTCTGGTAGAAAGTTTGATAGGGTTTCTGGAGTGTAAACATCTCCAAATCCAACAGCAGAACAGGGTCAGGATAGAGCTGCTAATGTTACCCTACACTGATGTACATGTATTAGTATTAGTGACCTACTTCCATGCAGTGGGGAAATACATCACAGTGGATTTGCTAGTTATGAAGCGTGGTTTTTGTCCAATGTAACCTCACAAAATGTAGTTAACTAATAAAATGTTCCATGGACTCAGTTACTGCTGTAGATAGTAAGCTAGTTACCCATACATTTGTATCTTACATTAGAGCACACAAACACAAAGTTTAATTGATCGTTTACACTTTTTGCTCTTGTTTTATGGTTTTAAAAAGACTAAATAAAAAGAAATGGCCCTCCTAACTCTTTAAATATCCAGTATCACAGTTAAAGCTGCATGCACATGTTTCAATGTGTGGAGACATCTGAAGCTTGACAGGCCTGCTCTGGCCTATTTATGGTTGCCAAATTATGATTGGACAATTGCTGTTCAGGGGACTGATTTAGCTAGCGGTCAATTCCCGGCTGACAAATATTCAATTTTCTCAATCACCCTTTCACCATTTTCATTCTCACTATTTGCGTGTGAAGAACACGGAGCTGCTGTCAATTAATATCCAGGACCTGTACTGTTTTGGACACAAGTTTGCTTCCCTGGAACAAAAAGCCATGAGCCAAGTATACTGTATTACGTCAGATAACGGACACACACAGTCACAGAAGGAGAGAAAAAAGCAAGTGAAAGTTACCATCAGGGTCTTGATCACCAGGGCAAAAACCAGACACATATCATTATTATACAGTCTTGCCTTCAGCGCTGTGCTCTTGAGTCTCTTCAGCCACCTACGCAGCCGTCTAAATACAGCAGACAGTTGTTTGAGTTGATACCACTGATCTTGATGAATGATACTGTTACTGGTCATTTACCACAGTTTATTTACCATATATTATAATATAACATCTTGTAAAAAGCACACACATGTAGATATATGAGTGTACAATCAGATAATTGGTTGAAGAACACATTTTAAAAACATAAACCATTAACTACAAGGATGATGTAAATGGCTGATGAAACGTAAATATCTGAAGGTTCCAGTGCAAGATCTGTACTTGGTGTTTGTTTTTCATCTTTTCATTTCTCAGCTTGATTAAATTAATTATAATGTGATCCACATCACAAATCATTAAAGAAATCAAAAGTCACCATGTAAAATTATACATACTGCCGGCAAGATGTGTAGGCTGTACATTTTATTTGACAATTACTGTCCGTTATTTTCTGACTCGTGTCTCTCGTCTTGGGTAATTTCATTTGAGTGGCTCGAGATGAGAAATGCTACAGGGACTTGAGTTAGGGAGAGACCTCTGACTGACAGCGTGAGCAGAAAAAGCAGCAGAAAACGTTTTAGCTCGGCTGATCTTCCATTTGTTCTGCTACTCATTTGCTTATCATGCTGTTTTCCCTGCTCTGTTTATAGCATTTTGCATTTGATTACTTTACCTGACACGGCCGAGGGGTGCACAGATTAGGAAAAGTTGAGGAAATATGTTTAATAAGATTAATAAATCATTAAATTATTATCCATAATACTCCTCAAAAGGCAGAGCAGAACGTGGAAAGTCATGCCGCTGTTCAGCCGTCTTCCTAATTGAGGACATTGAGGGTCAGGTAGGTCAGGAGCTCACTAATCAATACTGCTGCACCCCTTTATTTCCACTGAGAAATATTTTCATTTTCATTACCCTGGTTCCAGGGTGCTCTGCAGTAGATTAATTGTCTCCTTTGCTTCTTTAGCAGTCCCAGCTCCCTCCCACACAGCCTTGTGTTTCACTTGAATGGTCCACAGATTCTGTGCAGCAGACATACAGTATTATGGACACAGAGCCTCACAGTGTGCACAGCTCACTGGTGGAGGGAGTGGGTCTGGGGGCAAGGCAGCACAGGCTTGGAGGGAAGGGCCGCCATTTGGTACCCAGCTGGCCTCAGACCTCCCAGTGCCTGAGTTTGGGGCTCCATGCCCACGTTGAGGTGCAGTGACAGGTGGGCATGACAGTAATCCAGGACCGACTGCTCACACCTGTACAACGTCAGAGCACTCAGCTGCCGTGGTATCTAGACAGAAACAGAAAGCATAAAAGGGAAGAAGAGAGAAAAAGAGAACCAGATGTAAGCCTCCTGAGTCTGCCAAAGAAGCCCCCGTTTCAACATTTCATCTGCTCTCAGAATATTTGGAATTGGCTTAATTTACTTCATGCAGTTGTGGCAGAGCACTGTCATTAATGCAGCCTTGGCCGGTGATACAGTGCATGCCCTAAGACCTGAAATCTGTGGTGCTCAAACACCCACTTTCAGTTGGAGTGATTTATATGCAAGATGAAAGCCTTAAGCAAGAGTGCACACATATTTTCTGCCCTCTTTTAAATGGAGTCAAGGCTCCATTTAGAAGAGAGTGCTTATTACATTACAAGCACTTTGCTGATTCGAAGACCCCTCTTAGTTTTACGTGCTAGTGTGGTCTGAATTATGTCAATTAAATGGGATAAACCCGCATCACAGCCCCTGTGATATTGATATTAATATCCTAATGTCCATTCATGCTTTCACACAAAATATAGATGCACTCATGTATCTAGAAAAGCTGGAAGCAACATAACACAGTGTACAGAAACATTCATATACATCAGATCGTAATACAGAACGCATGCAACGCTCGCATGCACGAAAGTCAACCTCTCTAAGCTTTGATACTTACTTCCATGTACAGATACAGTGCTTTTGTATTCATCTATTGTAAAATATGTTGTGTCAGATTATTTTATTGGATTACAAAAGGATTTACTTAAAGCTGATTTGATGCAGAAATGGCCTTTGGATGGGTTTTCTCTTCTTTCTATCTGCTTAGGTCAAGTTTCACATTGCTGTCATCATTCAGACCCTTAAATTTAAAATCACAGCTCTCAAAAGGTTATGTTTTCCTTTCCGGATGCAACCCGGCTGTGTTTGCTCTCAGCTTTAACAGGAAGATTAGTTGAAAACACTCTATATTGTGACTATTGTCTAATTCAACAGCTGAACTTTGCACACACACACTTCAGAGGACCTAATAAAAAATTCATGAAAACAATGCTCCGAATGCAAAATGAGATAAATACGAGGGTGGTGGGTGGTGTCTGGATCTGGGAGTTCTCTGTATAAAGTATCAAGGGGAAAGGCTTCACTGTGGACTTGTTTTCTCCAATTATTGCAATAGAAAAAGTCAAACATGCAAGTCGTGAAGTCAATATAAATTTGGTTGGTTGACTGGTTGAACCAAAAGCCCTCTTTTCCTCTGTGTACAGCAGCAGTTGGCAGAACACTTACAACCTTTGTCTGTCCAACATTTCTTGCCTCCTCTAACTTCTACATTGCCAGTCTATCCCAGCAGAAATCCAAAGGCGCCATAAAATAACCCGAGCTGCAGTTACTGAGAAATAAAAGGCTTTTTTTGCCAACTGCTGCTAAGCTCTGGGGACCTCTGCAGATCTGTATACATAAATAAATGCACCTTTCAAGAGGTATAGTGCTATTATTATATAGGTCCTCTCACTATGAACAGTATGAATAGTTCAGATGGCATAAAAAGACTTAAAATAGAAAACTTCTTTTGACCTCTTAAACGGTTATGAGGAACCATATAGACTTTCGGACTAAAATAGCCTTTTTGGTTTTTGAAGGATTTTTCTTTTTCAAAATAGTCAAAATGGAAAGTGAAATAGTTAAAAATTGCAATGCAAAGCTTTGAGAGTGACTGCTTGTTTGTTGTGTTTGTTGTGCTTCAAAAATGCGCTGTATCCTGTCTGCCATCGCTGTGCAGATTGATTTAACCTTCTCAAAGAACCTGACAGAAGTCAGTCAGCGTCAAACACATCAACGTCAAGGTTTTTTGTCTTTGTTTGCACTTTACTGTTTGGTATTGGCCCATTCTCGACTCAAAGAAGTAAAAGATACTCTATGCATGCGATACACATTAACCTTAACATTCACCAGTGACATGGCGGAGGTTTTAAATTGTGCCAATGTTAAACTCCTTTCTCTGCTCGCCCAGGAGGTGCAGTGTGATGCAACATGTGTGGTAATGCCTTGGCTCGGACAGAGTGCTGTAACTGTTACATCTCCAACCAAGAAGTGGATACACTGAAAACTCATTTCCAAAATAGCATACGTGCCATTTTTTTGGTTCATTTGGCACAGATCTGTATGCTACCGTCAAAAAAATAAAATAAAATAAAATAAATAAAAACACACATATAAAGATACACACAAATATACACATGCTATTGCCCCTAGCGAATTTGGAGGGGAAGTCAGTTAAAAAAAACACGACCACACTGTATCACAACCTTTTTCTGTTTTTTATTTCCTCCTCCTCAAACGCTTTAGTCAGTTGCAGGCTTTTCCTGCATTTTTCTAAACTGTCACCTCCAGTAGCTTACATTAAATGCACTCTCAGCCTGCAGTTCACTAAGTTACACTCACATTTTTTATTCACATCGAGCCGCTTACCATGAAATAAACTATAATTTCTATTTCACGGGGTCTTTAATTTTTGCAAGGCCCTCACTGGTATTTTTTTTTTCACTGACAGCCGAGAGTGGTGTATCTGCAGCTCTTAAATGTTGTAAAGTAGAACTGAAACAGAAACACTTGAGCCCAGATGACTTGCTCCAGATCAGCCCTCTAAAGCCACACTTCACAAATACTATACAATTCATTGTTTCGGGTGTTCCACAGACACCACGGAGTTAAACAGAGACAAAAACATTTGTAACTCTTCAGCACTTGTCATTGAGAATGGATTTCAGTGAAACAGTGAGCGAAATTGGATGTGAAACAGCAGCTGGTGAAAGCTGAGTTTTCACACTTAAGGTATGAATTGGTAAACTGTAAATGGACTGCACTTATATAGCACTTTTCTAGTCTTATCGACCACTCAATGCACTTTAAACTACAAGCCACATTCAAACAGCACTTTTTCTATACATACAGTGCTTTTCTGTCACACACACACACTCACACACTGATGATACATTGGGGCCAATTTGGGGTTCAATATCTTGCCCAAGGACACTTTGACATGTGGACACAGCCTGTGAGTGTGTGAGGCTTCACAGCGGTGCTTTGAGCTAAATGCTAACACTAGCATGGCAACCTGCTCACAATGACAATGCTCAGCAGGTATAATGATCGCCATTTTCACCATATCAGTTTAGCATGTTAGCATGCTTACTTTTGTTAATTGGCACTACATACAAAGTACTGCTGAGGCTTCCACCACTGCTTGAGCCACAGCGAGCATGGCTGAAAAGTGAGGATGCCTACAGGTACGGCCGACCAATATCAATGAATGTGACGGCTTTAAGATGCTATAATTACATCCAAAATTCAGCTGTTCATATTCACAGTCTAGTGTGGTGTAGTTATTATAAAAACAGCTGTCCTGTAAAGGTCACATTTTAAACTCCCACAACATCTTAATGTCTTTCAATTAGCCAACTGATTATTATGTCTACTCCTCCAGTGTTTTTGTGCAAGATGTCAAACATTCATTGCCAGTCCCTCCAGAAAAAAGCATTCACGAATGAATAAACTACAAAATGTCAAAACAAAGTAAATTAACTTGATGAAAAATGAACTTATGTTTTTGCAGTCACCTCACAGGTTAATAAAGCATTGTACAATTTAAAGATGTTCCACTCACACTGATGCGGATACAGTCTTTTCTCTGTTTGTCGTGCACAATAAACAAAAAAAATGGAAAAAAAAATCTGCATTTGTGAAGCAGTAAACCCAAACAGGATCAGTTTCATGTCTTAGCATATAGAAGAAAAGAATAAAAGCCTTTTTGGCCAACCAAGCAGAGAGAGCATTCAGGTTTAATCAGGAATATTGGGGAAATGCTGGCTGTTATGGTTGGAGCTCTTAGAGAGGTGAGTCATTGGCTACCATAGCTTGGACAGCCGCCAACAGAGCTGCTTAAGGCTGAACGCTGCTCACAGTCGGATTTCGCCTGAGGCATGATCACCATCTTTCCTCAACTCTAATGGCTCAGGAAGTCCTTTCCAATCTTGCTGTGCACTACACACCCGGATAAATGTAAAATGAATTCAAATCTCTTGATTACAATAGCTATCTTAGAATAGCCTTGTTTCCTCTTGACAAGTGTAAGTCGTTATTCAGTGAGTCACTGGCCACTGCCCAAAGTAATAAAGCAAGCATCTGGCATCAACCCGATCTTGTCTTCACTTTATATATTAACTGTTTAAACTGTAGCTCAACCTATTTACCCTGAGGTGATTTTAAAGAGAATAGAATACCTTGAGTGTCCTGTACATAGGCTTTTACCTGTGGAAACTACACCACTATTTGAGGAGCTCTATTGTATGATAATATTGTGGGATACATTTATACCTCAGGTTAATACATCCCATTTCAATTTTTATGATATGTTTCACTTTTTCTGCATCTTCCTCTGAGCTAAACTGACACAGTGTTCATCACTGAAAACATATGGAGTATAAAGTGTTAAGAAATGATCCTCTCAGTTGGTCTGGAAGTAGCTTGGGCTTCAAGTGGCTACAGCTGCACTCTTTTTTTTAAATTATTTCTTGAGTTATTTTATTTCATTTCAGTTTAGTTGTTTGTGTGCTAATAACACAAAAAGTGAAGTGGCTATCACTGTGACAAAAAAAAGAGAAAAAAGAAAATAAAAAATATAAATGACTAAGACATAAAACACAGGGAGAAACTGATGCAGAGACAGAGATCACAGTGATCATGCGGTTTTTCATACACTAGTCTGCCCCCAGCAAAACATCAGCACTGAAATCCTCACCTCAGGTTATATGACAAATTATTCACTATCAGTTCTAGTGACCATTTCAGCTCAGGACTGCAGTTCATAGCGTAAACTTTTCTGTGTAGCAAACACCAATTTATTTTGTGATGTTAATATTTCACAAAATTTTCATTTCCTGGCAACAGCTTAACTATTTACAAAAAAATTTCACATTTTGTCAATACACTTTCTTTCTTAACGAAAGTTAGATTAGAAGATTGATACAAAATATGAAGCT